CACACCTCGCAGCCGGCGCCGCAGCCACAGGGATGCTCCCAGCTCCAGAGCAACCCCCGGCCTGAAAATGGGGACTGGGAATGGGGATTCTGGGGGGGCAGAGTCTGGGAAGCACCACGGGGATGATCACAGTGATACCCAGCAACCACAGGGATGCTCCCAGCTGCAGAGCCGCCCCCAGCCTGCAAATGGGGACTGGGAATGGGGATGCTGGGAGAGCTGGAAAGCACCACGGGGATGATCACAGTGATACCCAGCTAGGCGAGGCAAGACGGGGTGAAATGCTGGTGCTGCCACATCAGGAGTAGGGGAAGGTTCATCTGTCCCAACGTGCTGTGTTTTTCATGGAATCATAGAATGCTTTGGGTTGGAAGGGACCCTAAATCTCACCTCATTCCACCCCTGCCATGGGCAGGGACACCTTCCACTATCCCAGCTTGCTCCCAGCCTCATCCAACCTGGCTTTGAACCCTTCCAGGGATGTGGCATCCGCAGCTTCTCTGGGCATCTGTGCCAGCGCCTCACCACCCTCCCAGGGAAGAGTTCCTTGTTAATATCCAATCCAAACCTCCTCTCTTTCAGCTCAAAGCCAGGAACAGCTGCTGTGCTGCAGAAGCGGGCAGGAAAGCAGACACTGAGCTTTCCACTCGGTGCCTGCAGCAGCCAAGGGCATGGCAGGCTCACACCTCTCTGGGCACACCCTGGCACCAGCCCGGGGCAGAGCAGCCTCCCCCGGGCATCCCTCGGCCCCTCGGTCCCCTCCTGCTGCACAGGGGCAGCCCAGGGACCATCTGGAGCCTCATTTGAAGAGCTCCCACGTCCCCGTGTCCCCGCTCCATTTCTCCTCGGATGGCTTATCAGCAGTGACTTTCCCGACAGCAATCGATAGAAAACATTTTATCACCTTCCCAGGCGGCAGGATCCGTGGAGTGGGTCTGATTTCTGTTTCTATGGTGACATCTTCCGGGCTTGTGAAAGATTTTGCCTTTCTTGGTTGTTGTTGGGTGGTGGAGACGGAGGGGGGGGGGTGTGGGGGGGGGGCTGGTGCTATATTTTTTTGTTGTTGTAGGTTGCTTTTTTTATTTTTTTTTTTTTTTCTAATACCATTTTCAGCACACCAAGGAAGCTGCCAGCCAGCCAAACGCGATGCTCGCAGCATACCCACAGCAATGCTGCTCGCTGGGAGGGGCCCCAGGGCAGCTTTCATCCCCAAAATGCCTCTGAAAGCTACTGAAGCTCCAACTGGGGCCGTCTTCCTCCTTCCCTCATCCCAGGCCCCCTTCCCATCCCTCCGGGCTTCTCCTGCCAGGCCTGGAAAAAGCCACTCGGCCACACAGCAGGGATGGCCTCAAGCACAAGTGACTGCTTGGGGCGTTTTGTAGTGCAGCTGATTTTGCTCCTCAGCTCTGCTCCCTCCTCCTTCCCCTTCCTTTTTATCTCCCTCCACCTGCTTTGGTGCAGGAGGAGGGGGTTTGTCACCCTGCTCTGCCAGCTGTGGTGGCCCTGGGACGCAATCAAAGGGACAAGGAGGGACATGGGGTGGGGATGGGGATAATTTCTTATTTCTGGGACATCTCCTGCATGCAAATGGCCCGGTGCTTCTGCTGAGTTATCAGCACCTGAGGATCTCACCGACTGCCTAATTAATGTCTGCAGTTCCCTCTCCTCAGAGCTCCCTGTACCCCATGAACCACATTGCTCCTGCCAAAGCAGCCCATGTGCTCCTGCTGGGAGCTGGAGGGATGGAGGGATGGATGGATGGATGGATGGATGGATGGATGGATGGATGGATGGATGGATGGATGGATATACGGGAGAGGGACTTTGGACAAGGACATAGAGTGACAGGAGAAGGGGGAATTGCTTCCTGCTGTTAGAGGGCAGGGTTAGATGGGATATTGGGAAGGAATTTTTCCCTGTGATGGTGGTTGCCAGAGAAGCTGCAGCTGCCCCAATCCTGGAAGTGCTCAAGGCAGGTTGGACAGGGCTTGGAGCAAGCTGGGATAGTGGAAGGTGTCCCTGCTCATGGCAGGAGAGTGGAACTGGATGGGTTTTATGTTGCCTTCCAACCCAAACCATTCTGAGATTCAATGATTCCATGAATGGATAAAGAGAGGGAAGGAGGGAGGGAGTTGCCCTGTGCTGATGCATTTAGAAAATCAGCCACCAGCTCTTCAGCCCTGGTGGATTGGGAGCCCAAAAGGAAGCCCCTTCCTCCACTCCTGAGTCCCCAGTGGTGCTGAGCCCTTGTCCTTGCTGCCAGGGGAACAGCTGCACATCCTGGTGTGACACCAGCCGTGCCACCTGGCCTGGGATGTGCTGCAAGAGCAAGGGCAAGGGCAGGGACTGCTACTGAGCAGCTGGGAGGGCCGAGGTGCTGCTGACAGCATCAGCCCAGGTTGCCAGAGGGGGGTTTGGAAGGCACTGCCAGCTTGGCAACGCTCTCCCCACACCTTTCCCGTAATGATCAAGCCACACTGCTCTATTTAATTAATGTTTCTCAGTGGCACAGCCTTCAGCTGCTAAAATAAGCAAATAAAATAAAGCAGAGGTTTCTTCTCGTTTTTTGTTTGCTTTTTTTTTTTTTTTTTTTTTTTAATAAGGGGAAACTCCAAAGCTCATAAAGTTGGAACCGTGTCCTGGCATTAAGTGACAGCAGGGGATCGCTCCTTGCATCGGGCGCAGACCCAAAGCATTAAAAGCAAGGGCAGGAATGGGTAATGCAGGGCTGCCATCCCCTTCCCCAGCCAAGAGAAACGCAGTGTCCGTGACACAGATCAGCACCCCTTCATATTTCATCTCAACGCAATGCCCTTATCTTTGACCCAAAATAAAAATTATTCCTTGCTCAGCGATCTCAAAACACGAAATTATCTACGCGTGCACTAATGCCACGTATCAATCAACTTCAAATGCAAATCCCCACAGTGTTTAGCCCTAATTTTACCATAAAAGGATGGGTCCACGCCAAGCACCTCGCTCAACATTATTGGAGGGAACGGCAGCTTCCATCAGCAAATCTTCTCCTGGTCATTGACAAATACTTGGATCCTCAGCTTTTCCTAATGGAAACAATCTGGCCAGTTCCTGAGAAAGGGTGAAGCACGGGAGGAGAGCAGCACATTCTCTTCTCTCCCCCTTTTCCCAGCCTCTCCCCTTAAAATCTGCTTCAGATCTGGAAGCTGGTGCAGAGATGGGGAAGGAGAGCAGAGCCAGGTGGGAGCAGCCAGACAAACCCCTCTGCTCTCTCTGCACGGAGCAGCATCATCCGCACCCCATCCCTGCTGACAGCAGCGCTGCTCCAAGGGAAGCCAGGATGTGCGGTGGGTAATTAGGGATTTGCAAGGCTGGGCACACTCTGCAAGCCTTTTTCTTCCTTTCTGCAGCAGCGAGGGAGCGTTGGTGGGAAAAGGCGCTGTGCAAGCGACAGGAAAACACCAGGGAACACTTGAAGGAATGTCAAAGTGCAGATCAAACCCAGCCTGTATTAAATGCCTTTCCAGGTTGCTGCAAGGCTGGTGGGGTGCGGGTGGGGCAGGCAGGCAGCAGAGCTACTGCAGGGCCACAACAAACACCAGCAGGAGCTCAGGAAAGGCTGAGAGTCCCTGGGCATGTGCCGTGCGCCAGCTGCAGGGAGCAGGGTTACCTTCCACTGTCCCAGCTTGCTCCCAGCCTCATCCAACCCGGCTTTGAACATTTCCAGGGATGTGGCATCCACAGCTTCTCTGGGCACCTGCGCCAGTGCCTCCTCAGTGCATCTGCGCCTCCCTCAAGGGGGTCCTTCCACTGGGGCTGCCCCAGCACCACCAATATCAGTGACCCCTCCACCAGACACAGCGTTTAATGAATTCCCACCCTGAACCCACTCAGTCCCGGCAATGCCGGGAGCGCGGCACGCAACGGGTCCATCCAAATTTCCGCCGCACATCCTCGAGGAACAATGGCCTGAGTGTCCCTCGGAGGCCCCTCCTGCCACACGCGGCCGCAGCCGCCCTCCGAACACTCCGGCTCTTGTTCGCCTCGGCCGGGAAGCGGCGGAGCAGCAGGTATTTCCTGCCGCCGGCTGCCATCCCCGCCCGGCCGGCCCCGCGGGGACCGCGCTGCTCCATCCCTCACCCCCGGCATCCCCAGGGGACCTGCCGCCCCTCGGGGACACGCAGCACCGCAGCGGGGGCTGTCCCTCGGCAGGCAGGTGGCCCTGCTCCAAAGGGACACCAGCAGCTCCACGCACACCCCCGCTGTGCACATCCTGCTGGAAAAGATTTCCCTTCTGCTGTTCCAAGTCCCGGCTAAAACGAGGCTCAAAAAACGTGCAAAACGCTGGTTTTGCCTCGTTTCCTTTGTGTGTTTCAGTGTGTTCTGCAAACAGGGCACTTCCTCAGAGCTCCGCTTTGGCTCTCACGTTCGGGAATAAGAGAGAGGCTTTTATTTTAATAGGAAAACAGGATTATAAATTAGCAGTCAAGCTGTGAGAGCACAGAGTCTTCCTCTTAAAATATCTGCACACGTCGCCTTGGCCAAAGCTGGGTGTCAGCACTGGGGACACAGGCACGGAGGGGTCCTGGGTGCCACCCCTCTGGGTGCACAGCAGGTGCTGGTGGCCGGTGGCACATCCAAGACACTCATGAATAACCAGCTGCCACCACCCTGCAGCGAGGGCTTACACCGGATACCTGATGGAGAGGAAAATCCCAGGCAAACATCAGGCAGCTCTGCTGGCTGCAGCCAATTTTCCTCACTTAATATGTTTCCTGCACTCATCCCCCTCCCTGACCTCGGCTCCTCCTTGGAGCACGTTCAGCCCCAGCCACACTGCTGAGCACAGCCAAGGCCAGCGGGACTGCTGCCATTTCGTCCCTCCCCTCTGCTCCCTGCTCAAGGCTCCTGTCACACTGCTGCAGACCCCTGAAGGTGCCCAGAGCAGGGAAAGTGGGCAGTGATGAACACCTCGTGGGGTGATGGTGATCTGGAATACTTGGGGAGCACGGGGTGGAAAGGTTACATCCATCCTTTGTGGAAGATGCACGTCCCAGACTCTGATCCAGATGTGGATCCAAATTCAGCTCCAAATGCAAATCCAGATGTGGATCAGAATCCAGTTCCAAATCCTGATCTAAATCCAGACACAGACCCAAGTGCAGACCCACATGTGGTGCAGTCCTGATCCAATTGTGGATTCAAGCCCAGAGACAGCTCCAGCTCCAAACCCAGACCCAGGGTCTGGTGTGTGTCTGCAGGGACCTCATCCTGCCCAGTGCCAGCACCCGCTGGATGCTGCCCAGCAGGATGCCCTGCACCAGCACCGGTGTCACCTGTACCTGGCAGGGGCTACCCGGGGGCTTCCCTGCACCCAGCACCGGTGCCAGTCTCGTGAATGTCCCCGATGCCCGGTGCCTGTTGGATGCCCGGTGCCCAACACCACTTCCACCCTCCACTGCCCCTCCCCGGTGCCCAGCTCAGGAGCTGCCATGCGGTTCTTGCTGCTAGCTGCCCGGTGCTCGGTGTGCCGTGCCCCGGCTCCCAGCGTGCCATGCCCAGTGCCTGCCCCTGTGCCCGGTGCTTGTTGTGCCATGCCCCGGTTCCCGGTGTGCTGTGCCCAGCGCCCGCCCCATTGCTCCCTATGCCCGTGTGCCGTGCCCCCGTTCCCGTTATGCCGTGCCCAGCGCCCGCCCCGCTGCCCCCGGTGCACCGAGTGCCGTGCCCCGGTGCCCCGTGTGCCATGTTCCGGTGCCCCGAGTGCCCTGCCAAGGTGCCCGGTGCCGTGCCCAGCGCCCGCCCCATTGCTCCCTATGCCCGTGTGCCGTGCCCCCGTTCCCGTTATGCCGTGCCCAGCGCCCGCCCCGCTGCCCGCGGTGTGCGCAGCGCCCGCCGCCGCCGCCGCCGCCCCGCCGCCGTTCCCGGTGCCACCGGCGGCGCTGCCGGCAGGTGTCGCCGCGGTCGCGGGCAGGCGGCGGGCGCGCGTGCACTTCCGACGGCGCTCGGTCATGCCCCCGCCGTCCCTCCCCTCGCTCCCGGCGCCGCGCGGGGCTCCCGCCCGCTGACACCGCCGAGGCGGCTCGCACGGCGCGGGAGAGCGGCGCGGCCGCCCGGGCATGGCCGCCGGGGCCGCCCCCGCCCAGCGCCGCCGCTGAGAGGCAGCGGGGCTCGGCCCGCCAGGTAAGGAGGGCTCCGGACGCGGCTCCGGGGGAACCGGGCGGGCCGCCGAGCCCGGGGAGGGCCCGGGAAGGGCGGCGGGTGATAGGGGCCGGCGGGGGAGCGAGGGGAGCGGAGGGGCCGGGCGAGCGGGGCGCTGCCGGAGGCGGGGGGGGGCCCTGCCCGCAGCTCCGTTACCCCCCCGGGGCTTCGCGTCGCAGCTGCGGCTGCAACCGCGGCTCCCGCCGGGCCCGCTGCTCTCCTGCTGCCGCTGGAGCGGCGGTGGCACCGCCAGCCCGCCGCCACATCCCCTTCCCTTCCCTTCCCTTCCCTTCCCTTCCCTTCCCTTCCCTTCCCTTCCCTTCCCTTCCCTTCCCCCCGCGCTCCCACCGCACCGCACTCGTATTTCCAGCCCCAGCCCGTTCCGGCCCCCCCAAAGCTCGCCCCAAACCCGCCTCGATCCCCCCCAAAACGCGAGTCTGTGCCTGGCTCGGTGACGTCACGGAGGGGCTCCCCGGCCCCCCCGGTGCCGCGGGTGCGGGTGGCCGCGGTGTCCCGGCCGGCGGTGCCGAAATGCCGAGCGGGGACATGGTGGGTGCATCTTGGATAGATAGATAGCCCTGAGCCCCTCCTGTGCCCTTTCGCTGCAGCTGTGAAATTCCATTTAAATTCCTCTGTGTGTGTGTGTGTGTGTGTGTGTGTGTGTGTCCCCATTCCCGCTCTCCCTGGAAATGCAGCTGGAGCAGCACCTTGAGCGTGGCGCTGGGGTCCCAGTGGAGGGGCTGAGCTGCCCCAGGGGTCCCAGAGGAGGGGCTGAGCTGCCCCAGGGGTGGCATCCCGGGGGCTCTCCGGCCGCTGGAAGTGTCGTGGCTGACGTTGCAGACCTGCCGGAGGTTCTCACTGACGTCAGAGTGGGATGCTGTTGGGGTGCTTGTTTGTTCCCCACTGCCGTTGATGGGGAGCGGTGCCATCCCTTAGATGTGAGCAGATTTTGGCTTGCTGAAAGCTCTTGTGGCCACTGGCCCTGCCCGCTTTCCCCTTGGCTGCCAGCAGTGCCCGTGCTGGCTGCCCTCAGGTGACCTCCCAAAGTGATGGTGTGGAGGAGCAAACCCCACAGTTGGGGTTTTGCATGGGAGAGTGCTCCTCGGGCCCTGTGCGAGCTGAGGAGGGCATCGCTGGTGGTGCCAGCACCTTCCAGGAGCTCTCCCAGCTCATCTCCAGCTGCCCCAGCTCCTGGGCATCACCAGAGCCTCCTTGATGGTGCAGAAGTGGTTCCCTGCTGTGTGTGCTGGGACTTTGTGGAGCGCTCCCACCCCACAGCTGCCTTTGCCACGGTGGCAGCGTGTGTGCCCCAGGTGGGTGAGCAGCGCCGTGGTGGCTGTGCGGATGTGGCTGCTGTCACCTGTGTGCTGGTGACAGAGGGTGGGGGGCACGGGTTGGCTGCGCGTGGTGCCCGCCGGTGCTGAGACTGCTTCTCCTGGTGACTGTCAGTGCCTGATGAAAATGGACCTTGAGCTGCTGGGAGATGGAGTGGAGAAAGATGGGAGGAAGCCAAGTGAGATGGAGAAAAGGACGTGTTCCCCCTGAGTGCCCTTCCCTCCCCATGGGATTGAGGTGTGCCTTGAGGCGTGGTGAGAGTGATGGTGGCAAGGGGCTCATTGTGGGTCTTGGCACCCACACCCCGAGCAGCAGCTCTGCAGCCCAGGCCAGGAGCTGTGTGAAGTTCAAGGCAGGAAGTGAGAAATAAAAAAAAAAAAAAAAACAAAAAACCAAAAAATACCATGACTGGTAGAAACCACCAGGGAGATTTAGGGAAGCAGCAGTGCTGTGCTGTGGAGCCCAGAAGAAGTGTGTATCCTCATCTGATGAGGAGCTGCCCGTGCCAGGGACCGCAGACCCACCTCTCCTCTCCCGGCTCTGTCTCCGCTGCAAGCCCCAGGGAACAATTGCATACAGAGTGCTTCGTTTCAGAGCCGCCACAGTCATTTCAGAGACCTTTTAGGCAGGAAAAGTGCTCTGTAGCGTGTAATTTGAAGGCTCTGCTCTGAACCTTCACTGTCGCTCTGCTAAATGATCCTCTGCTCTTCCAAACCTTTGCTGCCTGGAAACCAGCAGTGCTGACCTGGTTCCTGGCCCCGCTGGGTCCCTGCTCTCCCTTCAGCTCCCTGCTAAGGTGAGGGGAGTTGCAGGTTGCGAGGAGCAGCCTGGGGTGGTTCTCTGCCTTGCATGGGGCCTCTCAGATGTCAGAGTCCTGGGAGATTTCAGCCAGTCTTAATCATCTCTCGCCTCTGCCTGAGCTGCAGAGGTTGTCAGAGCACGCTACGGATTTTCCAGCCTGGAGGGTTGAGTCCTGTGAGGGCTCTGCAGGAAAATCTAGGGACTCCAACTGATTCTCCCCCGAAATGGGGGAGGTGCAGAATTTTCTGTAGCATCCCTCAGGCACCTCACAGTGGGGAAAGACCGTTTGTTTTACCACCAGAGGAAATGGCACAACTTTGGTTTAACTGATGGAGCTGTGCCACCGCCTCACTGGGGGCACCAGAGGTGAGCCTGGAGGTGCTGCACCATCAGTTGGCCAGGGAGTGTGTTATCACCTGGGGTTTCCTTGTCTGTCCTTTCCTGCGTGTCCTTGTTAGCTGCCCTACAACTTTCATCTGCTGGAGGCACACCTGCCAGAGCAGAGTGAGCTGTGTTTCCTTTCACCCTGGGCACTGCCTGCCCTGCCAGATGCAGGCAGGGCCCCGAGTTCCTGGCAGCCAGGGCATGCAGGCAGCCTGGCAGGGAGGTGCAGGAAAAGGGTACAGGATGAGGAGAAGGAGAAACATTTGGATATGAAGGGTTTGCTGTCACCTCTTGGTCCTGAGCTGGGGTGGCACAGTGCAGGCACCTGTGTGTTTTCTCTTGCCTTTGCTCTGCTTTGGATTTGCTTTGTTTTGGATCTGCTCTGGTTTGGATTTGCTCCTGGTTCCTGCTGAGCTGGGAGAGTCCCAGTGATGGTGGATTTATGCACGTCACCAAATCAGACACGCAGCCAAGGCAGGAGGCACCAGCTTGAGTCTGTCCTGGCTGCATCAGCTGTGCCAGGCGTGCTCCTCGATCTTAACCTGCCCTTAAGTCCTGGTGGTGCTGGGGACCCCGCCCTGTCCCCAGGCAGTTGCTGCCACCCACTGATGACAAGACTTCCCCTTGGCTTCCCCTGCTCGCATCCTATCCCCCCCAGAAGGTCATGGCAGCAGGGCACAAGGCAGAGGAAAGGCAGTTTCCCTTTGCCCTCTTCACCTCTCAGAGGAAAGGCAGTTTCCCTTTCCCTCCTTCACCTCTCAGAGGGATCCTCCACAGCTCCAGCCCTTCCGAAGAGCAGGCAGGATGCATCCCAGCTGGGGTGGAGCAGGCAGGTCCGTGCATTGTCCTGCCACCATCCTGTCCCATTGCCTGCCTGAAAACACACTCCAAATCCACCTGCTCGGAATTGCGTGGACTTGGGATTTCCCGCAGGAGGACTGGCCCAGCTGCTTGAGGCAGGCAGCAGAGAGGCTTTCACCTGGTGTGGAGGAGGAGGAGGAGGAGGTGGGAGGCAGGTGCAGGTGCTGGGGTTCCAGCCTCACATCCAAGCACAAGGAGCTCGCTCTGAGCAGCGCTCACCACCTGTGCCCACCAGCACCCAGCTGGCAAAAACTACCCACCCCAGCAAGCAGAGGCCACTCTGCAGGATGGAGAGTGGCTTCCTGGGGCTGGCAGTCACCCCTGATTCCCCTGTGGGAGGCTGGGATCGCTGCGGGAATGCCGCTTCACCGCGGGAAGGTGGCAGCTTGGTTTTTGCTTTGGTTGCACGGCCTAGTTTCGAGAGCTGGAATATGCTCAAAGCTGGGCTTTCTGAGTTGCTTTTTTTGGTTTTGTTTTGTTTTAAATGACAGCATTTCCCCTTTAAATTTACATCTCTAGCTGGGGAACACAGAGCCTGGTGAGAGAGGGAGTGTGAGACTTTTATAAAAAGAACGAGTCGGGTTTTATTATCCCTTTGAGACGAGCAGGGAAAATCTATACTGAAGGCATGAAATAGCAATAAAAATGGACTTTTTGCCAAAGCAAAATTAATTGAGTGAATCTCAGTCCTCAAGCCTGAGCTCTGAGAAGCTTATGAGTTGGATATGAACCACGCTGCCCCCTTCTAGGCTCTCATCCCCCAAGGAGGAGAGGCAAATCCTCCCTCTGGTCCTCGGTGTGCGATGTGATCAGCGCCTGGGAGCAAAGGACTCCCGCTTGGGATGCAGTGAGGGTGAGGATGCCTCCAGCCCTGGCTGTCCCTGGAGCAAGGACCTTCTCCCTGTCCTTTGGCTTGGGGATGCTGGCGGTCATTGCGGGGCCATCGCCCCAGCGTTCCCATCACTGTGAGTCACGGCATCCCATCTGGAGTCTGGATTTGGGGGAGTTCAGCAAGAAACAAGAGGAAGACTGGACACAGGATCCTTGAACCCACTGTAGGAGCCTGGAGAGGATCCTGCTGTCTTACCCTGGGCTTGCTCTTATTGATCATTTTCTTCCCTAATGTCTGCATCCTGCTCTTGCTGCACTCTGGGGTCTGGCTCTCCAAGGTGCTTTCTGGGCAAATCCTTCACAGAAAAGGAAACCTCTCTCCTTTCTCCTGGGTTTTGTTCTTCTCTACGTCACATGCAGTGGCACTGGCTCTGCTTTCCCCAGTTTTGGGGGGAGGTGGCAGAAGGAGCCGCTGGACAGAGCAGCAGGGGAAAGGCAGATTCTTTTCAGCAGATGGTGCAAAGAGGATGAAGCTGTGTAAACCTCCAGAGTCCACTGGAGAGACAGAGATTAAATAGTGAGAGGGCTGAGAGGCAGCTCCAGGCAGGAGAAGGGAGGAGAAAAAAGGAAAATGGGGGTGGAAATGGGATTGGAGAGTGGAGCTGGGGAGAGGAGGGTTGGTTTGAACCGGCATCCCTCTCCCACTTGATGTCTCCCCTGCAATTCGGAGGGCCTAGATTCAGTGCCATAAAAATATAGCCCTTTTCAATCCCTTATCTTGCAGGAGCAGAAACAATTGGCCTGCAAAGAAGGAGAAAACAATCCGTTTGACTGACAAACAAAACCACATTTCTGCACAAAAGGAGGAGGAGGAAGAGGCAGCTGTCTGGCTGCTGCTTCGGCTTTTTTCCTTTCCCCTCCCTCTCCTGTCCCCTCGCTGACGGTGTCAGAGCAGAGCCTCTACCCTTGCCAGCAAAACACCCGCTGTTCTGACTGGCTGGGTTCAATGTCAGGCTCCTGCAGCAATTGTCATTGTCCTCCTGCTGTCCCCAGCCATGGTGGTGATGCACCAGCCCTGCTGTGGTGCCCTCCTGGGGATCAGGCAAAGGTGGCACCCTGAGATCGTGGGATGCTCCCAGCTGCTGGGAGAGGAGCTTGCTGGGTGCCAGAGACAGAAAGTGATGCTCAAGAGAGGGACAGGGCCAGCAGCTCTGGGGACAGAGGGGACACAGGAGGTCTCTGGTTGGGGACCTTGGGGAGTTCAGCCAGGTTGTGGGTGATGCTGATATCGCAGCATCCATGGAGTGCTGCAGCTGGAGGTGCTGCTGGAGCCTGGTCCCTCTCCAGAGCCAGCCCTGTGCCTCAGTTTCTCTGTCTGCAGTGTTAGCAAGGTAACACGCAGATGCTGTAGGAGGGCTGGAGCATAGAAGTGCCCTGTGCACCTAAAGTCATTATCCCAACAAATTGTTATCCCTAAAAATTCATTACAGCAACCACTGTTCCAGCCAAATGGGTGCTGGGGGGAATCCATCAGACAGGCAGGAGCAGAGCCCGTGGGGATCTCCGTTCTCCATCTCTCTGGAACAAACTCCTCACTTGGAGGATTTTTTGAAAAAGAAGCTGATTTTCCCCATGTGATTCCCTCACCAGGAGCAGCAGCAGTTTCCTGCCTGGAACAGTTTTCCAAGGGGATTTTTCTCTGTGGGGACATGTGAAGCAAACACCCACGCTCTGAAAACAGCCAAATGCAATAAATACCCAGTGCCTGAACCTGGAAAAGCAGAGGCTGGAACAGGGCAGTCTCTGCAGGGGCTGCTAGTGCTGCCACAGAGGGAATCAACAGTAAATAAAGGGGCAAAGAAGCAAACACTGAAGCCCCCAGGACACTCCTTTGATGCAGTTGCTGGTGACCTACTAGAATCCACTGGAAAGCTGATCCTCCACTGGTGGGTGGTTCACTTTCTCCTCTTTCTATTTTTTGAGGAGCTGTTTCACTCTGCAGACAAGTAGCAAAATAACATGTAAGGAATCAGAGATTCCAGGTGAGTTAATAACAAATAATGAGTCTCTCAGTTCCTGAGTGGTTCTCTGGTTGCCGCAGTCCAGGCGTATAACAGCCAGGCTTTCCTGAGCATCCTCAGCCAGCCTTGTTGAAATACTGCTACAGATTCATAGAAACAGCCTGAATTCAAGGGAATTTAAGAAATCCAGCCTCTACATTCTTAGATTGCCAGAACAGAAGCTTTGGGGAATATTTGACCTGAAACATTGGAAGAATTTGATTTCTTTTTTAATTCCTGCACCTAAAATGCAGGATTTTTTGCATTTTTCTTTCGTCTTTCATTTCAAGGGAGGAGAGGAAGTATCCCTGCACACGTCAAACTGCAGGAAAGAGAAGACACGAAAGATGACTGGACTACTTTTTACAACTTTGGCTCTTGACTTTCCTCCCCAGA